ATCTATATCTCTGTATCTTATAAGCTTTCAAATCTCTTTTCTCCTGATTTTAAGCCTTAGTGGACAATTAACTATACTATCTTTAACCCTTAAAATCAGCAAGTGTTGTCTTCACTACTAGTTGTCTTTCCTTTTTTAACGGAAGTGTTGTCCCAAGCATTTTTAACGGAAGTGTAGTCCAAACAATTGATCAACACAGTTTCAATTCAAGTTCTTATAAGAGTTCAATGCAAAATACCTAAATATCGAATTAAAAGAAAATCACACAATTTAACTTAAACATTAAAAATGCAAAATACCTATTTTTTTAAAATTTTCATATATTTATTAATTAATTCCAAAATGTCAAAGTAAATCCTAAAATTAACTACAATATTGTTTTTTGTATTTTTCATTAATTTTACAAATAAACATGCACAAAGAAATGCAAACAATAACAGAAAATATCATGAAAATTCACAAAATTGCATACAAAAATAAAAATTATTTTATTTTGAATTCTTTGGGAGTAATTCGTACAGGGCAAAAATCACGTGCTCACAATATATAAATTTTGTCGGCTATTTTTTTTGGGAGGGCTAAAAATATACTTATATTTCTTCTATTTTAATTGGGTAATTATTTATTAGACTGAAAATAAATAAAAAAAATGTAATAGTACTAGAAAATTTATTTTTTGACCACTATGATTTTTATGTGAGTTAGTAAAATTTTTATAATTTTTGTGTGAAAAACAAAGTTATATGACTTTTATGAAAAAAAGTCATAATTGTATAACCATTTGTGAATACTCTTATCCTGGTCTATTGTGCCAACACAAACTTTTATGAGGGGATTAAAACGAAAAAAAGAGAGAGAAATGTGTTGGGTCTTCTACCAACTCGAAGGCGATTTTAACACGAGGTAACAATATTGTTCACTTTGAAACACGTCGATACAATTTGCCCAAAATACTTTACGCTATTTTAAAACGTACTATATTTTGCATGTAGCTTCAAAAAATCTCACACTATCAAGTATTCATATACACCTTTTTGTTTGTGCCCCAACAGTACGACAACTCCTTAATTCAGCAAATTTTAATTTACTCCTTTTCCTTTCTTTTTGGTTGTACGGATTTGGATTAGTCGCACGAACTTCACTGTGTAAATGTGATTATGCTACATATCACCTTTATTAAAATACTTCCAAATTAATATATTTTTTCAAGTTTTGGAGTTTTGAGTTCAGAGCTTTTGCTAAATTTTGATGGATGACGGCATTACCATGCCGATAGAGTTAATCTAAATTGGATTCTGATATAGGAAAATTGGAAGGTGCTGGGAATGTGTCTCTTATGATAAGAATGTGCCGTTGAGACGTAAGGGTAAGTTCTATAAGGTAGGGGTTAGATCGATTATGTTGTATGGGGTAGAGTGTTGGTCAGTCAAGAACTCTCATGTCCAGCAGATGAAAGTAGCTGAAATGAAGATGTTGAGATGGATGTGTGGGCATACTAGGTTGGATAAAATTAGGAATGAAGTTATTCGGAACAAGGTGGGAGTGGCCCCTGTGGAGGCAAAGATGCATGAGGCGAGACTGAGATGGTTCGGGCATGTTAAGAGGAGAAACACAAATGCCCCAGTCAAGAGGTGTGAGAGGTTGACCAGGGGGGAGGGGGGTTGAGAGGAGGGGTAGAGGTAGACCAAAGAAGTCTTGGGGAGAGGTGATTAGGCGAGACATGGCGCAGCTTGAGCTAACCGAGGACATGACCCTAGATAGAAGGATGTGGAGGTTAAATATTAGAGTAGAAGGTTAGTAGGTTGTCGTGCATTTCCCTTTGTCTTATCTAGTTCGATAGTATTAGTACTAGTATGGTATCCTTTTATCCTTAGTTTTCTATATTCACATGTCTTGTTTTGTTATTACTTGCCATCAGTAATTCCGGAGTTTGCTAGCAGTACTTCGTTCATATTCTCGTTTGGTGCCTTGGATTTAGTTTTCTAAATATATTGTCTTGCTATTACTTGTTATCGGTACCTCTTTCATATTCTCTGTTGCTATATTCGATTTAGTTTTCTAATTATTTTACTTGCTATTACTTGCTATCAGAGCTTCTTTCACCTTCATTAGCCGAGAGTCTATCGGAAATAGTCTCTCTGCCCTTGCAGGGTAGGGGTAAGGCTGCGTACATCCTATCCTCTCCAGACTGCACTCGTAGAATTATATTGGGTTGTTATTGTTGTTGTTGTTGTTGGAAGGTGCTGGGAACAATTCCAAGTAAAGCTCTTAAATATTTTAAATATGGGATCCTTCAATTAACTAGTTTGTTGTCATCCTTTGTTCGAATCATCTCAATTCTAAAAACACCATATGTTAGATTCAATATTACGTTTTTGAATGTTAAATAACTGATAAAACGTGCTTCTATTAAACAAAATAGATACACCAATCACATCTAGAGTGAGTAGTCATATACGTGGGCCTAATATACAAGTAGAATCTGTTTTGAAAAAGATCTAATCATTTGTAGAAGGCCGTGCCTTCAAATAATCACAACTTAAACTAAAAATATAAAAAGGGCATTCCACACAAGAAAACTAATAGGAGGAGGTTGGCGGAGTGTTAACCAAATTTTAATAATTTAACTTTTAAAAGTATTTTGATTTTATTTATAACCATAGAGTCCAGTTTATGCATATTTCGAGTAATTTTATGGAATATTTATTACTTTTTACCAGTACAAATATCAGATAACTCTAAGAACGGTACACCGATGCATCACTTTGGATATCCTGAAATATAAGGTCCACCGATATGTGCCCTAATTAGAACTATATAAAAATCAGTAGAAACATAAGAATACAATTTTATTTTCTTTAATTGTAAGACTCATGAGTTGGTTATATTAATTAATTGTTAAAAATAAAAGAAACCATGGACGGCAGCAGAAGGAGCATTATACAATGAATCCCACCACTCCAATAATTGATTAATTCATTTACTAAGGGCCTTTTCTTTATATGTTTTCAAACAACCTCCAGTGTTGCTGAATGAATGGACAGAAGAACAAGTGAGGAAGCCGTTGAAAAATTAAAGTCATACATAAAATAATTCATTGACTTTGCATTGTTCTCTAAGCGTGCAAGAATATAAGTCGTGTTCCAGTTTAAGTGCTACTCCCTCCGTTCCTGTTTATGTGAACCGATTTCCTTTTTGGTCCGTTCCAAAAAGAATGACCCATTTCTAAATTTTGTAAAAATTTAACTTAAACTTACAAGTCTACCCTTAATGAAAAGCTTTTATAACCATACAAATATTAAGGGCTCCTTTATGACCTGTTTAGGAGAGAAATTCAAAAATAGTTAAATTTACAATTGGTCGTTCAAAAATAGCCCAGTTTCAAAAGTAATCGAAATTAAGTCACTTTTCATGTAAAGATAAATTTGAGCGAAAACACTGTTCAAACTTGGAAAATACGCCAGTATATTATACTGGAGTTCCAGCATAAATATGCTTGAACCCCATCATATTATACTTGAGTTCCAAGATAAGTATGCTGGAACTCCAGCATAATATGATGGAGTTTCAGCATAAGTACACTAAAACTCCAGCATAATATACTAGAGTTCCAGCAAATATAATTGTCCAGTATAATATACTGGAGTTTGGAGCACCAGTGCTCCAATCTCCAGTATGTTATACTGGAGTCAGCAAAGTATACTGGTCCAACATAATATGCTGGAGTTCATACACATGTGCACCGAACTCCAGTATATTATGCTGGACCGGTCTCTGTTGTAGCAAAATAGTGGCTATTTTTTATTAACTTCGTAAACGCTGGCTATTTTTGAATGACCAGTTCGAAAACTGGCTATACCGTGCTATTTTTACCTTGTTTAAGACCACAAATTCCAAAAATATTTCTTTTAAACTCTGTGCCCAGTCAAACAAGTTCACATAAATTGGAATGGAAGGAGTATTAGTTTAACCAAAGCTCGAATAATTTATGGTCAGCCCTCTTATTGTACGTCGTACGTGTATCTAGTCATGAAATTACTAAGTTTTAAATCTATATTCTCGATACACGATTAAGTTTATCGTCAAACACCTCCGAAATGAACGTTACTTTATAAAGAAGTTGTAATTAAACATGTTATAACTTAGAAATAATGGAATTTCTTCCAAAACCACACTACGAAAAAACGAACTTTACTGTCATAAAAATAAAGGTATGTCAAATAAAGTCGTTGGAAGTCTAGCTAGATCAAATTAACTACTACCTCTTCCCTTATCGAAATTAAGATGAGTCCAAAATAAATATTTCCCATTGTTACAAATACACAACGTAAATAAATAATATTTCTCTTCCTAAAATAGTTTAAAATTTTAAAAGAGACAGTTACACAGCTCAATATTGTATATCGAGCAGGTATAGGTCCAACATTCAAACTAGTCTCTCCGCTAGCTAGCCGCTATGCAATATGTATAAAAGAGAACTATAACAGAGCCCGACCTAGAATTTAAAGGTTGTTGGTGCACTTTTGCATTCAACCAAAATATGTTTTTTATTTCAGATACCAATTCAATGATCCCTCTAATTACTACATAGGTCTGCCTCTAGCTACAACGTGATTGTCCCTTAAAACCATCAAAATGATCACATGTGACACATATATACGTGTTGTAGACCTACATTAATAATAAATAAGTCTTTTCTCTAATAGTTCAAACTTTTAGTCTAGACGAAACACAAAAATGGGTTTTCCTTAGAACTCCGGGCCAAACCCACATCCGAAAAATATTTTTTTAAAACAAAGAAATTTTTTGGATAGGACATTTGTGTCATCTTGATGTTAGAAAGATAATTACGTAATACAATATGAAATTATAGTCATACTTGTTAATCATCTTAAATACGAAATCAAGCATGCTTGCTCTATTTTCTTGTCAATTATATACTATATAAAACTCTCATTCTTTGCCGACCATGACCTCCTCTCCATTTTGTTCCAATCATCTCTTCTCCACCTCCAAGCCCTGCCCTTTCAATTCTATGGAGATTGATCCTTCAAACTATGAGAAACCAGACCAAATAACATGGAGCTCCGATGAACTAGGTTTAGGGCATGTTAAGTTTTATAGATGTAGCTTTTGTAAACGAGGTTTCTCTAATGCACAAGCACTAGGTGGACACATGAATATCCACAGAAAAGATAGAGCCAGACTTAGAGAATTTTCAAGTGAAAACTTGCTTTCTTTGGACATCAAAAACTCCATTAATCCTCCTCCTCCTCCTCCTCCTCCTCCTGCAAACAAGGATTCGTTGCAACATGAAGTATCGTACGATGAAACAATTAGTAGCCCCTCGAAAAGGCCATGTGTTAATACATCTGAAGAAAATGATCATAATCATGAAGTGATTATTGGAGATGTTTTGCAATTACCTTTATTCACAAAGACTCCATTAATTAAAGAAGCAAGCAATTGTGTGGACAAGCAAGAAGAAGAAAAGAGCATGCAGCTAAACCCTGTTTCAGAATTGGACCTTGAGCTTAGGTTAGGGATGAAACCCCACCTCATGAGTCCTTGATGAAAACCTTGTAGTTCGTTAAGTATCCTTTCTGAACTCCCATATGACGACCGTTTATCAAAGAGAAGCTTTTTCCTTTCTAATATGTTAATCAAATATACTTGCTACAATCCATCAAAGAGGTACTTCGATTCCCTCCATACAACTTCCTCTTTATTTTTTTATTTTTTTTTTATATATGTACTCCATATTTATTTCAGTTAAACGATCTAAATCAACAAAAGGATATTGTTAATTTGTTCTTTTTCTTTCCTTTCCTAAACCTTGAACTTTTTCGAAGTACGCATGCTTGTGCTCCCACAACTATACAGATGCTTAATTCAGCTAGTTTATATTTTCTGATCAGAAATAGTTTTCTTGAAGTTTAGGGGTACCAAATGATGCTCTTTATAAAAGGAAAATACGTGCTGTCTATACTTGTTGTTCCTTTTTTCTTTTGTTTTTTGTTCTGTTTGTTTTCTGGACGCAGATCCAAGACGGACCAAAAGGCTTGTCCAACATAACGTAGAGAATTTTGTCAACTTATTTAAACTTGTTGGGAAGGTTTGAGATCGAGGAATTGAAGAACACTCTCAATTAATGATATTTTCTTGAAGAGACAAGTAGAGAAAGAACATACTGGGTATTCTTCTAATACATGTATCATGTTAACTCCATGCCTCTCCCAAGCTTTTAATAAATACATATACACATGCATTCTTCCATTAATTTTCTATAACATGAATTAAGAAAACCATGTACCTAGAATTAGATCTAGCTTATTTTTCAAAAATTAAACCACCCATTTAAACTGGACTCATCATTCCAACATTCTAAGACATCGATCTTTAATAATTTGATGAAGATATCCACTATCTGATCTTGTGATATCACCAACTTAAGGTCTTCTTTCTTAAATATTCGTCTAGTGCCTTTTGGAGGATAGTCCATTTTTCATTTTTGCTCGTCTAAAACTTATTTGCTTGCAAATCATGTTCGGTTGACTCTTGCTTTGGCTTATTTATTCTTTTCTCATCGATTTGTAAAGATTTGACAAGTTCATCAACATACGGTCGTGGTCGTGGTGTCTAAAGCCTTGAGCTCTTCAATATAATCCATAACTTAAGTATATCTTGAATCGTATTTTTTTTAATGGCCCAATGACTCGCTCATTTTTCAAGTCTTCGATCTCCATGTACACTATTCGTAACCATTATCGTTTCTCTGGCTTCATACAAAGAAAATAACATTCTCAAATATCTTGTCATTAATCCTTTTATAGACGAGAATATAATGTGAATTTTCTTGTCCATATTTCTAGCTCATTGCAGTGACATCATTCGCCAATTCCTCTTCGTACTCAAGATTCCTCAGTTTACAGTTCTCCATATATAAGCAACTGCCTTGTCAGGGTTGACACCTTTAAGTTTTTAGGCTCTTTGCCAATCAAAATAATCCTTCAAAAAATATTTAACTTTTGAAATTTTAGTAGTTCAACCTATTAAATTACTTTTCGTCAATTTGACCAGCATTCTCGTAACTATAGTATCTTAGTTTCATTCACATTTATATTAATTTGAAGTTCATCTTCTCAAATCTTCAAACAATTCGAGTTCTCCACATTAAAGACGATTGACTCTGATACCAAATGTTGAAAAATACTTAATGGAAGAACACTTCAATGATATTCTCTTGAAAACGAGTGGATGAAATATTTCACTCTACTTCTTGGTCACAACTTGGTTTATATAACAAAATGGTTGTACTATACATTGGTATTTATAGATTTTCTCCTAGGAGTTACATTTACCTGTTAGTTTAGTATATGTATTACATCAATTTTATTCTTGTCTCCCATTTCCTAAATACACGTACATAACCATACATAAATTCTTACGTTAATCTTCTAATACATGAACTAAGAAAATCCATATGCATGTACGTGCTTTGAATGAGTTTAGTTTATATTTCTTAAACTAAACTTGTCTTGCTTTAATTTGGAACTATATATGTTGTGCTCCAAAACCATTTTGAATTTTAAAGATTAAATAGATCTTGAATTCATTAGCATCATCAATTTTCCCACTTTGCTCTGTTTGTGTTGAATTTTCTAAACTTGAAACTAATATTGTATAAATATATTTTAGGAATTGTAATTAAAAGTAGATACACCTTGTTAAAAGAAACTAGGCTCTAAAGAACAAAGAAAAAGTAATTTTTCTCTAGGGTGTTTAAAGAAGAATTTAAATGTGAATATATCAGCAGACACTAAAAATATGTACAAGTATGTAAACTAACCACGCAAATATGTATGATGAAAAAACAAATTCTATCATGTATGCATGATTAAAAAAGTTTAAAATCGTTTTCCGAATATGTAAATATAGTAGTATATCTTAACTGCGCATTGTTGAAGACCTTGAATGATTTGATCTATATGACCATTTTGTCAGTGCATTCTGATTCTTTAATTTCTTTTACTTTTCAGGAAATATGAAAAAGCTCTATTTTACCACCTTTTTCTTATTTTAAAAAATATGTTTTTCTTTGAAACAGTTGAAAGCTAGCTAGTCTGTTCAGTGTATGACAAAATTAAGAATCTTTGCCAAGATTAAAAATGGAGCCTTACTTATTCAAGTGAAAGAATGAACAATGACCATAAACAAAGCACATAATTGATTTTGTTAATTGCATATGAAAATGTTTGACCTTTTAATTATATAGAAAAAATGTAGACAGTGAAGTGCAAAAATGTTGAACTATTTTAAGGATGTTATGATAAAAATCAAAATATGGTGGATGTCTACTCTTCCTTCATGATCTTTCTCTCAAATGGTTAATGACATATTCAATGACATATTTTCTATGTTCAATGACATATTTTCTTCATTTTTCATGCCTATATAAAGGCCTTGTAATAGATAGAAAAATACACCAAAGTGAAAGAAGAAAACACTTCTCCATTCTCTCTATCTCTTCTTGTTTACATTTTACTGCATTGCTTTTATTTTATAACATGTTATCAGCACAAAGTTCTAATTTTATTCTTAACTCCTGCTAAGTTGAGCCATATTTTATTAAGGTATGTATCATTATA